TATCTAAAATCAAAGGAATCTTACAGAAAAATATCTACAAAATACATAAAAACTAAAATCAAAAATAGATACATATTACAGTAGCAACGACGATGGGAAATAACTACAAAAGGAAGGGAACTCTTCGAATACATACCAGATATTAACCAGAGGTTAAATAACAAGCATCTACAAATCAGACACAAATTTACATGATTCGTGACGGGACAAGGAGATTTTGCGAAATATCACTATAGATTTAAACGTAAAGATGAAGAAAACTGTGAGATTTGTGGGACCCCCACACATCTTATTTGACTATAAGCGATATGAATAAATAAGAAACGAACTAAAATTAGTTTGTAATAAAGAAGGTTACAATTGGCCTATTAGGAAAAGTAGCTTTATAAATAATGTTAACATATACAGTATTATTATTTCAATGAATTTATGAAAACAGAACATAAAAATTTCTCTCATAGATCATTGTCAAACTAATGATAACAAATACTTTACTCAACAAAACAATATAATTAATACCCGACAATTCTATTTTTATTTACATTAATGTGTTGCTACTACGACCGCGACTACGCAATCGTAACTACCTGCAAAGCATATGCGAAGCAGATTAATTAAAAGAGGAGTACCTCGAGCCAGTAGCATTTAATGCTACAGGTCGGAGGGAGAGCTCCACTAAATGTAAAAAAGTATGTAGTCAGTGGAATCACGCTCGACATTCCAAACACCATTGTCAAACTCCTAGGCTTACGGGAAAGCGGCGCCGAACGTCCGACGTACACCTTTTCGCGTTTAAAACTTCGGCCTCGACCTCGCTGTTGTATCATTGAAAATGACACTCATCCTTCTGTGTAATTTTGTAATAAACTTCGGTATCTGTATGCAATGTTGTAACGTCGATCACGTCGAAAGAATAATGCAGATGTTGATTCGGTGTTTTTGAATTTGACCAGGCTACTACGGAAAAAATATCGCCGACCGGGAAGAAAAACGTGTCGGAAATACACTTATTCGTGTTTTTTGAATAGAACGTCACGGGTCTTCAATCCCGATTGGGAACCAGAAAAAGCCGTCGGTTCCCCTTTACCTTCCCGGCAATTATTACTCGTCGTCTTTGTTTTCGGACGAAGAAATTAGTTTTTCAACTAAAGCGTTGGAAGATATTTTCCCACAATACTTTCCCGGACGTTATGTACAGTACAGTATACGTAATATTATGGAATGGTGTCAAATTTGACCCTAGCGGACTCGCAAATCGCTACTTTTGAGACCTCCCGAACCTAAAAACGGCAAAAAAATCCACGGGAGTGCGTGTTTCGCTTAATATCTCGGGATGGGGCGAAGATAAAGAAACGAAATTTGGCACGGTAGCTTGTATATAAGGAGCATTGATGCTATTAAATTTTGGTGGTGAAAGGTCGGGATGGAGAGAGAGGATGGTCACGTGTCATACTTCGCCAGGGTTCGGACTTACTGAAAGTTTACTTGTCGCTAGCATTTAGTGTCTCATAAAACTAGTCTCTACCGTCAAAATTAAGTCTTTTGCTATTTTATAATAATTAAAAAATATAAATTTTGATTAATAATACAAATGTTATTTTTAAAATAAAATCTCATAAAAGCCGTAAAAGTTACGCAACTCGTTGCTAGTTTTTCTTCTACACCAATGGACACTCCTGTGTGGCACGATTTTGTTCTCTGTCTTTCGAGCTTAATAAGTGCTACGCGTTTTGTGGAAATTTTCCACAGGTTTGTAAGGAGAACTGATGCTATAAAATTTTGGTGGTTAAAGGTCGACGGGGTGGTGCGTCGTATCTTCAGTAGGATCGGACTTTGTGTCAATAACGAGTAAAATTTCCACTATTTTTTTTTTTAATAAAAACGCGTTCCTACCCTCAAAAATAAGCTTTTTACCATTTTATTATAATTAAAAATATAAAAATTTCGTAACAAAATATCGTAACGGATGGCGCCACCAAAATTTTAAATGTTGCCGGAAAAGTTAAGCACCGGTTGCTGGATATTTATTTATTGTCGGTAGTTCCAAATGGGAGGAGTCCGATTTACAATAAAAATAAAAGTGCGAGTTAATCCTTCCATTACTATCGTGCCTGGAAGTTATACCAGTTAAATTGGAGTTAACTTTTATAGGTTCGAACTCGTAGAAATATAGAGTAAATTACTACCAAACAACCTGGCTTTGAAGATATTGGAGACAAATTAATAGGCTCGAGGAAGATCTGCATTCCTATTACATAAATAGTCAATGTCGCCGTCCCCGCTCTGCTCTGTTTCCATTTTTTTTTCGTAAATAACTTATCGCTGTTTCCGACATTTTATAAATAATTTCCCTTTCTAAACTCGCGGACGGCATTCCGTAAACGACACCGGGCGATCTGGTGAAAATTTCCAAAAATTAATTTTGCCCATAAAATTACATCGCCGGGACGTCCGAAACCGCATTCGATTTGAAAATACGGAGGAGAAAAACGTGATGGATTCGTCAGGGGTTCGAACCAACCTTCCTAATGAATACGTAGAGTCGATGCACTATTATTATAAAGACCGAAAATATAGGAAAAAGTGACCTTTGTTCCGAGGAAAAGACCTAAACGTCGAACGACTGGTCCGAATCGTCGTCTCGGTGGAAAAAAGGAGACGGCATTGTGGCGGAGTAAGCGCCGAGGGGGAGGGTGGGAATGTTTCTTTTGGAAGACGCGAGCCATTGGATGGCCAACCGTTTCGACCTTTACAGAAATTTATACGATAATAATAAAGTCAAGAATATCCTCGGGGGCAGAGACATCAATTAGAGATGGATGGGTAGAGAAGATAAACTCCCGCCACATCCTGCCATTCTCTCGGCCATGAAACCTCACATTTTCATTAATTTCTGCAAATAAATCTTTTTTTTTTTTCTTTTTAATTTTCCAAAACGGAAAAATTCCTCGGTCCCGGACGACAAAAGTAAGACGTAAGGCGTCACGCGATTGTTTGTCAAGTTCAAGTTCGTTTCGGTGGCATCGAATCCGTTCTACTTCTTTTCGTCACGTTTCGTTACTTCTCTTAAGAAGTGAGACTTTGTGACTCGAGGGAAACGGATGAGGCGTTTCTAAGAGAGAAGTTACCGAGTGTTACGTCTTATTTTTGTCGTACTTTATTCCGCAATTCGATTTTGATAACGTAATTACCGAGACGATTGTTACGTATCTTAATTTAATTTGCATATACGGAGACGACGACCGTTTGACGCGTTTACAAATGGAGATTAACGACGACGAGTTTAAGTATTTATGCGAAAAAATAAACCATTGAGCGATATTCCCGAATAAATGAAAAAATCTTTAAAAATGAAAGTCAAATATAATAAAAAAATTGTCTCTATCGTTAATTTCTCTCTTTAAATTAACTGGTATATTGCTGGTTATTACGCGAAACCAATAAAATTATCCAAATTTAACTGGTTTTTACGAATTTCCAAAGTGTAAAAAGAGCGAAATTCCCGAAAATACGAAATACGTAAACTTCCAACTCGCGCAATATAGGAATTAGATGAAAAGAAGAAAGAACCCGTACACTTGATTTCGGATGTAGACATCAACGTATAACCGTATTCTTCCAAAGAGGGGTTTTGTAGCGCGTGGGGAGGAGAGAAGAAATAATTGCCTTCTGGGAAGACGACGCGGAGTTAAGAACAAAGAAGAAATTCCGGAAAGTGATTGTCGGTTGTCGACGGGGGAAGACAACGTGGCATTAATCGAAATATCAATAAAAAGTGACCCCCGGCCGCATTCCCGCCTCGTATTGTGGGTCAACGTACGTGACGCGCTAACCTGTTTTTCGAGTGTCACCGCGGCTAAAATACAATTAATGCAAATTGTTTCGTACGAGTGCGTTAATTGGACGGAGGTCCGCATCCCGCCTTTTCCAATTTTCCGTTTCGGACGAGGTCATGGGATCAGCGGGAAAACTTCACGCTCGGATCGATAGAAATGAAGATGACGGCAATTTCCAATAAAATGGTCTGTAATAACTTTAAACGTATAAAAACTGGAAATCTCGAGGCCAAACACCCCCTCGGTTTCTCCGCTGTTATCAATTAACTGACAAATTGCGCGCGGGATCCTTCTTACCTATCACAATTAAATACTACTAATTGTTTAATTCGTCTTCCCCGTAACGTGTATAAAGTTTTTTCACCCGTTACGTACCAAGGTATAACTTTTACTTAAATTAATATGCCCCGATGTCCTTGGTTTATTATAATATAAATTTTTTCGTCTACTAGTACGTATTTTCTATTATCGGGACTTTTTAGACTCGCTTTACAGATACTGCGACAAAGTTTCACAGATCAGAAATTTGTTTTATTTAATATTATTATAACTTTTACTCTTCTACTCGTAAATTACACGTACAAACATTTGCACTAAAACACATCTATACTAAGGGGCATACGCTATGTACAGTACTGTACATAAATATTTTTATACGAGTAAGTTTAACTATTATATACGGTATATATCAATAAGTTATAAGAAGGTATACGTAGGCCTAGATAGGTGACATTGTATATTCTTGTATATTTACGTTAATCGAATCGACTACATAATCCGCACTCCTACCAGAATAGTAAAACGTACTATTCGTTGCTTATTTGTACACGTTCTTTCAAGTACGTTACATACGACAACGAATAGTGAAATATACCTTATCGTACATGGTGTATTATACACGAAAACAATACGCGACGTATATTTTTACTTACGAATTAATTTCAATTTGGCAGAAAAACAACGAATAAATCTTCCGAACTAAAAACTTTAAGGAGTTTCCGATCGGAAAGCTCACCGAGATTCTCTTATTAAACCAAATTACATAAAGCTGTTCAGAAGATTTATTACAATACAGTACTGGACAGAAAGCAAATAATTATAACAATTTTAAGACTTTCGTTTAAAAACCAATGCGTAATTAATTACAGAAAACTACTTGAGAATGGCGAGATGAGGTCGGACGATAGTAAACAATTAATATTTCTATAGGAGCGGAGGTCAGTGACAGGAGGAGAACAGAAAAATGACGCGAAGAAAGTCGAATAACAATGGCCGCTTAATTATCTTCTCGTTACCGCCAGAAAAAGATCGCCGTTCAAACAAACAAAACCGGTAGGGAAATGCCGACTCGGAATATAAACCCGGGCGATAAATAATTAAAATTGCGTAAAATTCGAAAGGCCGCGACAGAAAATAGACAAATCCGCGATTAAAAGGATGACCGTCTAATTATTTAACGACGCCACGTAAACGAATAAATAAACCGCATCCTCTTTTTTTTACACGCAATAATGGCTGAGATAATTGCGTGTATCCAATAATGGAATTTTGGGAGGACACTTTCTCGCTTGGACTAAAAATCCGTCTGGTTGTAGAGTCGATCCATTGGTGGAACACCTAGTATTATCCGGGTGACGAGTGACGGGAAGCGTGGTATTTTGAATAGAGTCGCGCGTCACGTGACCGACGATGGCTATAAAATTGTGCCCACCGCCGGGATCGCTCTACCATCATTTATCGACAGCCATGAAATTTTCCACCGCCGCCACTCCGCCGCTCAAGGTAAGCGCTCTTCGCCTTTACGTAGTTTAAGTTCGATTATTGATATACATTTGAAAAGCCGACACCAGCTTTTCCTTACTTTTCTAAACTCTTTTGTCCCCCAGCGGGTTTCGCGTGCGGGAGTAACTAATTGAATTAATTATATAAAAAGTGGGGGGATATATTGAATTAAGTGACGTCGTGATGGTTTGTATAGAGAAATGTCGAGCTATTCGGTCAGGTGAGATTTGTGTTAAGGTCAACGATCTTCAATAAGCGGGAGTTGAATGAACCGAAATTGTTCGCGATAAATTTTCCACGCCTTTTTGCTTCTGTACACAATTCTATTTTAATTCATTTTTAGGAGTTCGTGTTCCTCTCGCGTGACCGGGGCCTGGGTCTAGTTCATTGTCGACCATTGATTTTCCTAACGGAATTCGTTTCATTTCTCTTTCCAGATGTTTTCCGCCCTCGTCTTTCTGCTTTTACTCTCGTCCACTCGAAGCGAAGACGATCATCGGAACGAGGGATCCGACTCTAAAAATAACAACCAGGACGGCAACAAACAAGATACGAAACACGGAAACAACGCTCACGCCGGCGACGGAGGCGGTTACGGCTACAGACCACCCTCTTACGGAGATTCCCATTACGGTTACGGCGGTTACGGATACTACCCTCCCGGTTCCGGCTACGGAGGAAGACCTTACGGACAGGGCGGCTACGGCCACTACGGAGGTTACGGAGACAGATACGGTTACGGCGACAGGTACGGATACGGAGACAGGTACGGTTACGATCCGTATCCCGGAGGCTACTCCTCCAGTCCGGGAGGAGGTTACGGAAACGGCTACAGCTACAGAGAGTGGCCCAACAGAGGTTGGCAAGATCGTCACGGAAACGAATACTACAACCGCGGCGGTTACGGAGTCAAAAACTTCGACAGAGGAGGTTACGATCGGTACGGAAGCGGCTACGATCGCTACGGAGCGGGTTACGACCGTTACGCCGGCGGCTTCGATCGCTACGGAAGCGGTTACGATCGTTACGGAAGCAATTACGATCGCTACGGAAGTAGGAGACACGGACAGTCTTACGGACAGAGATACGGGTCCAAATCGGGTTTCGACAGATACGACCCCCCTCCCAGAGTGGGAGTGAGTAAAGACTGGACCGAGTATTATCCCAGAAGATGGTGGTAAATTGGAAAACGGCAGCCGACGCAGGATTAATTGTTTGTATACACTTAATCGTTACGACCGTGTTTAACTGTTTAAATAGGCTTATTTATTATATTTAATACTCTTGAGAGACGATTCTCGTCACGTCTTTGGCCCTTTCGACTTTCTCCCAGGAAGGAAATGTACAGAAGTCCTTGTTCAATAAATTGTATCATTCTAAAAGCTTTACCAAAGTTCCCGCGCACATTTCTTACATTTTGCGGCAACGTAAACAAAACTTAGTCTATTCCGGCCTTTTTTTCATTTTATCCGCTCAATTCTAACGTTTCTCACCGAAAAATTCATAAATAATTAATAAAAACAACTTTTTAAAAAAATTGATCATTATTAATGCGCAAAACCATTATTGCCGATTAGAACAAAATCCAAAATAAATGTAAAATAGAAGAAACCCGCCAAATATTTTTTGCATCTATCTTCGGAGTATTTCTTCTATTTTACAGTGTTTTTCAATTGCTGTCGAGAATCCGAAAGGAGAGAGAAATGAATAAAATGTCAGACGAAGAAGGTTCCATCAAAGTAACATAATTACTATAAAATCTGACAGAAGACAATCGGACGAGAGGTCATTCGACCTTCGAACGTTTACCTGCAAACATCTAATTGACTAGTTCTAAAATACGTTTTTTTTTATATTTTACGACATTTGAACGATTCTAGTTTAAAATATTTCGTAATCGCGAAATATTTTTACATCTAAAGACAATAAATTGTACGAAATTATTACATTGTGAAATTATAAATTTATATTAAAGTGAAGAGATTCCTCGGTCGACTCGACGATTTATTCTCGATTACACGAGTCGATCCGCAGATTTTATTAAAATCGAAATATTTATTCCATATTCGCTGATATTTTTGAAATCTCGGAGACGACCGGAACCCGCGAATACGAAAATATTCCTCCTTCGAATGGTAAATCCTCGACAAAAAATGCCCAGTCGAATCGAAAAGTGGAATTTCCAACACAATTATATGATTGTAAAATAAAAACATTCCGGAGGTTGCCGCGCCGCTATTTATAAGTTAATTAAAGGAAATCTGTTCCGGCATTACGGACGTTATAAGCTTATTATAGGCGAAAAACAATTCTATAATCTTTTAATTCCTATCGATTAGGACTTATTTGGTAACGCAAACGACTCGTTTATTTTAGTTTTAGAAATTCAGTAATTCCATATTTAACGGCCGAAATCGTTATTAAATAAACGTCCGAAATGTAAATCTTAGTGGATGAACCGCGTATTTCAAAAATAGAGAACATGTTCGAGATCCTTCGTAATGCGCTTACCACTACAACGGAGGATAAACGGATCCCCCCGGTCCGATTGTTAAGAAAGGAAGCGTAGGTTCGAACCTCAAATAAAAATTCACGTTGCGGTCCACGCTGGACACTAACGACGCTAATTCTCACCCGTCTTAAATGATCGAGCAAACCGTAATTTCGCTACCAAAATGTCGGATAAGATTTCTGGTCCCAAATAAACTTACCAGTTTATTTAATTCTCGAATTTATTAAATTTTACGATTAACAGTAGACTCTTCCCTATCCGGACCGATCAAAGGCAACCAAACATTTTCGAAAACACCGAATATCGTCCATACTACAATGTGCGCGTCTTTAAATATATATTGCTTCGAAGTATTAATAATAATAATGCAATGTAGCGGCTCTCGGCCAATCGAGAACAAAAACAACTTTAACACAACACACTGAAAATTAATTGTAAATTTAAATGTCAAAATCAAAATCAACATTTTCACATATACAATATGCATAGAAGTTATGCAAAAAAATTAATCTACCCGGACCACTTCGGACGAGTGGTCGTTGACGAATTTTGGAAAGTTTTAGAGCGTGTCGTCTTAAGTATTTTGTCCTAACCACGTTTTGTTTTTGCTTCTAGGAGAAAATTATCTCTAAATTTAGCCGCATTTATTCGAGATATCCCGTCGATTCTGTATATTACGGGTCCATTTATCTATTGCGTGGGCCAGGAACGAGAAACGACGCTTCGCCGTAAATTACGATCGGATTCGAACCCGGATTCCTCCACAAGGGCGACATTTAAACGCGCGAACATCTGACCGATACTCCAGAGTCAAATGGTCGACACGCGCCTTACGTTTTCGTTTTCCTCGAAAACGAAACATTCCGGTGAAATAGCGTACGTTACGTAGCTAAAAATATGCGCCTAAATGATCGAATTCCGCTTAAAAATCGAACCACTCTACTTTTCTGGCATTTTTATGCCGAATGAGTTTTTTCGTGCCACGAGGAAGGCTGGAGAAAGAGACAAAAGAAAAATTCCAAGATGAAGTTTAAAGACGAATTTAAAAATTCATTATTTGCGGAAGGCAAAACAGAATTCAAAGTAGCCATTAACCAGACTCAATTATAATTCTTATTTATTTATGTTTATTAATATTTCCATATTTTTCGGATGGCTTTTTATAATTATTTTCTGGTTTTGTTTTTCGTCTAATTTCGCAAAACACTTTTCTAGTTTCCTCCGCAGGAGGCAGTTTCGTAAATGCATCTAAGAATGAAAATTTAAACTTGTATTCTACGTTTCGGATTAAAAATAATTACGTTTCTTTGGAACACGAGCGTAAGAAAGGAACCGTTCATTAATTACGTAAACGATAGCTCGTGAACCCATTGATATTGAAGAAAATTATTTAAAAAGTTCTGAAAATGTTTTACGATAGTTTATTCGTACGATCCGTAAACTTGTGAGAAATTTTTATGACATTAATAGCGCTAAAAAAGTCCACGCGGACCACGCTTCCACCCCACCTTCCTACAATGACGTACTTTTTGCCACCCCTCTCCCACCCTTAAACCGTACACGCAATTAATAGCCTGTCCCGAGTGGAAGGACAGAATACTTTCCATACAAATACAAATTTCTCGAGAGTATCTCGTGAAAAATCGTTTCTGAAAATCTTTGGAAATTTCTAAATGACCAAAGGCGAGCAAAATGTTTACTCGTGACTTTTTGACCACGAAAGGTCACTCGCATTATTAAAACTCGTCCTCCGCATCGGAGGATGCAAAATTCGAGTACCGTCGACCGGAAATACCTAAATTGCGTTTACTCACGTCAAGGTAACGTTCGAGAAACGAACAGACCGTTATTTAATTACGCTGAAATTTTTTTAAAGGTTAATTTTAAACTTAATAAGACAAACGACATCGATAAAGACAAATGTAAACGTCCGGGTTCAAAAGTTTGCGCGCCAATCCTCCAGTTAAAACAACGCGCTTTTCTTTTACAAAATACCATAAAGTATTTTAGCATTTGAATTAGATAGTAATTTAGACTTCGCAAAAGTTAACCGACTTTTGGATCACCCTTTATTTAATTAAGACAATTAATAATAGTCATAAAGCAATTTCCCAATGAATTCGTTATTGAATTATGGCATTTTCGAAATTACCCTCGGTTACGCATACGTAATTTAAACGCGACCCGACTCTGGGGTAAGGGCATCAATCACGCGACCGGACTCGTCCCTATTGGTTGGCCTTAGCGATATAAAAAAACAACCGATATCGCTCACCCCAAAAGTAAGGAACAATACTCGTTCGGTATCATTTCCAGTGGCTGCATTTCCAATATAAAAATGGTAAGTTACATTTTTATTAATACTGTATTTCATTTCCTAAATCTTTATTGGCTTCGTTTTTAACCAGAAAGTACACTATTACTTAAATTTGATATTATTTCGCGTTTCCTCCAATACGTAAAAGTCGACATAAAAATGTGGACTAAACTGGCAAAACGAATGTACTTATAATGTTAAACAAATTCTAGATAAACCGCGTGTTTCCAGCATGACGCTTTCTATTTATTGATTTCGCCGACCTTTCTAAACAAACAGTCGAAAATGTTTTTTTTTTCGTTCTAGATTTATCCGGTGATATTTTTGCTACTTATTCTTCGTCGCAGCGCGGCGGAGAGCGAAGACAAACGAACTTCGAGCGGCAGTTTCGCCCCGACTTCCAGCCCTCTTCACATTCTTTCCGGACAAGACAGATGGGAAAGTAGTGCCAGTTGGCCGACGGAATGGCGGGAAGAATGGCCCACCAGATATTCGCTCTCTCAAATAGGCGCACCCAACGACGCGGGACGGCCTCGGCCGCAACAAAAGGTTTTCAACAGCGCGCCATTTCCTAGTTACGGCAGCAAGAATTACGCTTCGGGTCTCTACGATCGCAATTACGGTCACGGTTACGGCTACTTTCGAGACATTTTTCCTTCTTACGGCTATAACGGCAATTACGGATTTTACGGGCAAAGAGTAAGCTCGTCCGGCAATAATCGAAGACCGGGCTACATGTACGAATACCCTCAACAATTCGATAACTACGGCCCGAGTAAACAATGGGATCATCGTTACTATAAGTAATTATGTCCGTTAAAACTTTATATACAGTATAAATGGTATTTGATTCGAATATACATAATCCTTCGGTGTCTTCGTTTATTTTAAGTAATTACGATAATAAATTTAACAATTATTATTGTGTTAGAATCGCATTGAAATGATTGTATTCGATAATAAATATTGTTTCACTTTTAATTCGTTCTGGTTCTTTCTTAACACTTCAAACCGCTTCAAATTTTAACGTTACTAAAAAGAACCGTAAATTTTAATAATACGATATAACGATACAGAATTTCGAGTGTTCTGTCAAAATGATGTACCTTTTTTACGTCAATTTGACGTCATTTCTACTTTCTCGCAACGACAATGTGTCGAACTGATATCGAATCGCATAAAAAAGTACACTGTTCTGACGAAAAGCTTTTGCGAAACTGTAATTCAACAGAGGACAGATATAAATCTGCCTTCTATTGAATTAGTTTCGCAAAAGCACACGTCGTAACGTAAACTATAACGTTTATAATTTCATTATCTTTTACCTCTACACTGCGTATACTGAAAATGTTATTTTTATTAATTTTAAAAGAAATTCGTGTTTCGATTCGTCACAAAATTATATCAGTTTTTCGACAACTACTAGGTATATATGCGGGGTGTTCCGCCAGGTGATGGCAATATTTTTACAGCGTGTTAGAGGTCGGGGATCCAAGAATGTGCTATAAATATAATCCTTCAAACGCATTGTTTTGGCGCTAGAAGGGGTTAAACGATATCCTGCCATAGTGCTTCTTAGATAGGCCTTTTCCTACTTTAAAACGGGCAAAATAAACTTTCGCTCAAAGCTTTAGAAGTGGGCAATGCGAAACAAAATTTATATATACATCAGGTC